CTGCTTATACGATGTAACAAGTTGGTATATATCGTGGCTTTTTCGTTCTTGCATCTGATTTTCTCAGTGCGTTTTTGTTTGAAAAACTATCTATGGAATCGGAAATGCTTTTTGTGCCACGCAGTAATTATGTCTCATTTTTCCAATATTATAAGTTGATTCTTGTAGAGTGCTTGGGATTTGGAAGATCCTACCTCCAAAAAGCGGTGCAGGATCTTTCAATCTTTCAACAGCTGCTAATCTTTGGTTTTTACAAAGGCATAAGCTACCAATATGAAGGTTCATCATAATCATATCCCTTCCCCTAACCGACCCTATTTTCTCAATTTCACACTATATTGACGCCGTACAAATTGAAGATAATAGGGACTTTGAAAACGGCTATTTATCTTAAAATTTGAAATCCGGTGATTTTTTCGAAAGAGAAGCGAATTCGTATAATTGCAAAGTGAACATCACTAATTGTTTGAGAGTTTTTGCCGAATACAAGCGCTGCCATGCACCAACCTAAAAGTAACAGGATTAGATGTTTAACTTATCCTTCAGATTGCCCGTACGATCGGATCAATGGCAGCGTTGGACCAGGATGCGCGGATTCCAATGGCGCCAAGTGTCATGCACAGTGTGTCGCCGGATGTACAGTGCCGGATGATGACACAGCATGCTACGGATGTTTACACTACAACCACAATGTGAGTCGTTGTGACTGTTATTCGTTTTTTATTGTTGTTTTTTTTTCTCGAATGTTACGAAGGAACCAGATCGTTTATAGGGCGCTTGTGTTGAGAAATGTCCTGGGAATCTGTTCGTATACTTGAACCGGCGATGTATCACGGAAGCGGAATGCGATTCGTAAGTTTTTGTGTCGTTAGATTTGGGCTGTACTTATTGAGTACTCATAATAGTTTTGCCTTTTGAACAATAATTTTCAAAATGTTGCCATTTCGCATTGAGAGTTATTTGTGGAATCAATTTAATTATGATTAGGGTGTTATTTTATGGGTAATTGGTTGGATTTTTGAAGATGCCATTTTATGCTGTTTCTTCAAAAGGTTAAATATAAT